TTCGGCATCTTGTGCTTACTTCCTTGCGTACGGATGACAGCTGCGTATGACTTAATTTATTTTCTGGTGCTTCACTTCCAGAGACAGTTGTGAGCATTGTGTAACTGCCTCGAGGGTGCTTGACCATTTTAACACAACGTGGTGCGATCATCCCCCTTGCGCGGAGCGAGGGTTCTCGACCCCGCACAACATGATCTACTCGACCACCATTATGGTTACCGCCAAAAAAGAAAAAAATGTAAAACAAAAAACGGTAAGCTGGTTGCCGAGTTCACGAAGTGAATTGGCTTGTTTTACAACGTCTTTGCCAAGCGACGAAAACCCAATCCCGATGGCAAACACCGGGGGGGGCGGCTTGTATTGCAACGTCGTTGCCAAGCGACGAAAATCCAACCCCGATGGCAAACACCGGGGGTGATGGGATAAAAAAAAAAAAAAGCCCCCGAAAGTCGCCATCTTGTCCTGTTGGTCGACGGTGGCCCAGAACACCTCAACGATCCTCCCTAGGCTGTCGAAAGTGCGCTTGACAACCATCCCGGGCTCAGCTTCCAACTTCGCGAGGAAAATGGCGCCATCCTCAGGCATGGAGTACAACTCGTTTTGATTCTTGTTTATGGCGTTATACACCTTGGAGGGTTCGGAAAACGTTCGGAATGTGCAGGAAGTTGGCCGATTATCAACGGACATTTAACACCCACGTCGTAACGTAACAGTATAGCTTAGATTCGGTTTCGCGCGATTTTTGTGATCGGGGGCGATTCTACCTGTCAGACATACATACCCCATGATCGCCAAGCACGGCTACGACATTTGCTCGCCCTCGGCCCCCACCCCCCCTTCCCCATTCGGGCTTTTGGACGACTGCAGCAACGGCCCGTGCGCAGCGCGCGCCAGCAAAGCTCGTGCTAATCAATTTACTTTCTTCTTCCCGTCTTTCGCCAAGCACAAACCGTCGTAGTCGATTTCCAGCAGTTTGAACATGTCCGTGGGTTTGACGCCAGCCGCCGTCCACTTGCGGACGTCATCGAATCTCTCGTCGACCACTGTGGGTGGCAGGACTTTAGCCTGGGCTCTTGAGACGCTCCCCCGGGGATGTGGTTGTGCTTGGAGAAGGACTAGCGCGCACGATCAGATCAAAAACGAACATTTAACGCACAAGAACCACCCCAAAAAACGGCAAAAAAGGCACCGGGAAAGTCAAGGACGGCAACAACGCCCGTCGGAACAGGGAAACCGGGATTTCCTGACGGCAGCGACGAAGCTTGTCATCATCACGCACGGCTCAAGTAGATATTTCGTGTGGCCTGAGGGTTGATATTTGGATACGCAGAGAGGCACTCGCTTGGCATGCACACGAGCATGTCGAACGAACGACGGTCACATCAAAAGAAATCAGAAAATACGGCGAAAGAATTACTCGTTGGAGGACAAAAACACGGAAAAACGGATGACGACACCACAAACAACGAAACGGAACAAATAAACGACAATAAAAGAACGATAAATGAACGGCGACAATTTCCCGAAGAAGAAAACACGTCAACCACGAAGACAGGTACCCCATATCGGTCACGTAGCCGTTACAGCGGCAGAAAATATGGGAGGTACGATACGAGCACATTGGCTACCCCGAGTTCCCATCCTCACCGACGTTATGGTGGGATTAGTCGCCCCAACTCGCCACGTCATGTGGATCTTGAAAGGGCACTTGATCTGCACCACGAACAGTCACAGGACATGCGTCGCAAGAGATGTGGGTATCCCGCGACGCGTGTTGAAAGGCGGCCGACGCACTCTCCCGCGAAAATCTCGCAGCGAACTCCGGCTCTGAACATCAACAGCCTCAGACTATATTACGCACCATGTTACTCTTCCGCACCCTCTGGGCGCAAGCCTACGCGCCACCCCCGAGTGTTTGCAGACGATTTCGCAGAGGTGGTGCCTGCTCTTGTCAGTCGTCTGCGAACACATAGGCCGGAAGGCAAAACAAATTCATTGGGAACGCATTGGGAAACGTAGGTTGAAACGCGAATGATTCCACCAGCTCGTTTCAGAGTGAAGACGTGACATCGTGGCTTCCCTAGGCTATACAATGAACCGCCGTGCAATCGAAACACCAGATCTGTTCAACTCACCAACTTGCGCCTCTTCTATTGAAGGGTTAGATTCCCTTCTTCTTCGAGCTCCCCGATGGCCGTGGCGAATGCGGCCTCCCACGTGTCGTAGGCTGACTCCTTCACGTCGAATGCGCGGCCAAGGTGCGCAATTCCTCAGCCATCTACGTCCTCCCACAGCCCAGTTTCCTCGTCCCTGTCTTCGTCCGTTTCACTATCGGCCCCTTTGCCCTTGCTGTTACCACTGGCACATTCCTGCTCCTGCATACACCACGCATCAAAGGGCCGTGATGTTGCGCAGTCCAACCACAAGCTCAGACGAAGCTCAGAGACCTCAAGCCGACCAAATACTTTGTCGGGACTGGTATTGCCTAGTCCATTCCGAGTGCAAACGTTCGGGCCGCCGCAAGC